TAAGAATCCGACATATAACTTATGTTGTTGTGACAGACAAACATAATTTTAGTTGAAATGAATATCAGCGTGTTGTAATATTAGATTTTGTTGCTTGCTTTCTGGTACAGAAATTTGTCTTACAGAATTAATCTTCTCATTACTATAGTTTTTACATTTAATTTTTGTTTTTAGGCTATTTGCAGTTTTTCTTTATATTTACAGTTTTTCTTTTGAATTTCTGGTTTCCTATTTTGGATTTATAAATTAGTTTCTCTTGACCTGTAATCATTTTGAGGTAGTTTTTCATAGTGGCAATTATTTTCTATAAAATCAGATTCTTAGCAGTGTTCTTAAAATACTAGCATTGGTTATTTGGACTTTGACTACCCTTTTAGTCTTGTTGCCTTTTTTGTCTGGACCTATGATAGGTATTTTACTCCGCACCTGTCACAGTATTTTTTGTTTTTAGCTCCAGGTTAGCTTTAGAATTATGGATTTTATCAAGCCAGTCAGGTTTCTTGCCATTTGAAACATAAGTTGACTTCGAGATATATGCCCATGTCTGTCTGATTTGGATTGTTAAATTTTTCTGAATGTGGAAATTAATGACTTTAGTGCAATTGAAATTCATATCTTCCTTTTTTTGCATGTATCTTAGTTTGCTTATTCTTTTTGGATGTAAATTAAGTACCTTTTGAATTGAGATATTCTGCTTTTGAAAACTTAATCAGGTTTGTGTAATTGTATCGTATCTATTTGAGTTCAATTTGCATTTGGGTGTCTTGAGTGTTTTTATTCACATTATGCAAGTAAAATTCTCACACATCTTGGATTTCAGGATTGCCTTTCGATATTCATTGAATTAAGGTATCACAATGTAGGATACATGCAGATGTGGTGTTTGATCCTTGTTTTGGATGTCTGTCTTTGGTAATTCTGAAGCTCTTGGAATTGGTATAGTGTTTTCACGTATTCCCAGATTTAGCTTTGCTTTTCTGTTTGGCAACAGTAGATACTGTTCAAGTAATATTTTTATGGCTCCTTCATTTGGACTTATCGATCTTTGGAATCAGTATATACAATTAATTTTTCCGTGGTTCTTAGAGTTGAAAGTTCCTTGCCTTTTCACTTCTTAACCAAATGTTTTAAGAAAACTTTTATTTGCCTGTTAAGCTCTTATATCTTGAGTCTTCAAATTGATTCTATTTGACACAGCTATGGATCGGTATATGTTTCGCTGTGTTTGATATATTCTACACATTATTGGTTTACGGTTCAGTGTGTGTTGACTGAATTTTAAATCAGCTTTAGATAGCCATCTTTCTAAAGTTCATATGAATTAAAATTGGTGATTTTAAAGCTAAAATGTCTCATTTACATACATATGTTCTTGCTCTGAAACTGTAATAGTATAGGGATGTATAATTCTCTATAATTGGACTTCTTAATTCAGTACAGACTTAAGGCTTCTTTTGTACAGTGCAACTAAGATCTCCGTGCATCTGCATTTTAGATTTCTCCTTTCTTCATTATAAACTGTAAGAGATGCATCCACATCATTTCAAATGCATTGTTACTTGTTTCAAAGGTAGAAATTGTTATAAAACTTTTTGTACAAATACATTGTTACATATTTAATGATGGGCTGAAACTGGGGTTTAAAATTGATCCAAGCAGTTTATTGCACTTCTACAAGTTAGGCTAACTTCCTTCTTGTTATATCCCACAATCTTATTCAGAGAACCTGATGACAATGAAAATTTAGTTCATGCAGTCAATCATGAAATTTCATGACATATAAATCTGTTGCATTATTCACCTCAGTTTCCTGAGCATATCTCCATGCTTGTACAGAGCTTAGCTGCCTTCATGTTCAACCACCTTTGTTTCCTTTTTATGATTGCTGTTTCCCACATTTTGAGTTCTTTTCCTATTTGAATATGGAACATGTTAATTTAAAGTGTCTCCATGATTTTCCATGGATATATCGAATTTCCAGTTGCCCTATCCTACTGGTTATAGCAAAAAGCTGCTGATGCACAAGAGAAATATGTCGGTAAGAGTTAGGATGTGGCACATGACGGTAACCTTGTCTCGCAGATTATGTCTTTTATGTAGCTCAAGATAGGATGGGCAATCAGACTCCTGTCTTAAGGAATTTGTCGAGGTCATTAGTGTACATGAGACATAGACAAGTCTGATGCATACATTCAACTATTATTATTATTGTTAGATTAAGGCTATGAATGAAGCACACTTCAAGATGAGATGACGTGCAGGGCAGTGGTTGTTGACTTGGCAACTTACTTTTAGATAATCACTTGAAATATGAGGCATTGCCAAGACATGTCAAAAAGAAAAAAGAGAGGATATAGACATGTCAAAATACGAGGCATTCAACTATGACTAGGCAACATACAGTACAGGAGTCAAGACACATGAGGCATTGCCAAGTCAATACAGACGTTTAGTGTCAATAATGACTTGTATAATTGTCATTATGTTGGATATAGGTACTAATAAAGCATAACATGTCAAATATGATAATCAATCTCTTGGGAAACAAGAGAATTCTATTTGGTGTCGATGAAGTTTCGGTGGTTAGCTTTCAGCATCTTCATGAGAAGATAGTGGCATAGCACACAGCTTGGCCAATTGGGGTAGGGAATCTGGGAGGTCCTACTCATGGGGAATCAATTTTGGGTGGCAGGGGCTGCTTTTTTTTTTGTTAGGAAGACTACTTCTGATGGTTAAATGAAACAGTTTTTCATTAAAAAAGAAAAAAAAACAAGAGAAAACCATAGTTATCTCTATTGAATGTGTTGAATGTGCTTTCCACCTCATTGTTATCTCTCTCAAGTGATTGTATTAATTTCGATAACTGTATTACTTTATGAGCAGCTTGAATTTTCCATTGTTGTCTCACATGACGACTTTGTGCTTCTATATGCATCCAGGTGACTGAAAATGGTAAGCAGGAGAGGCATTTAGTTGCGACCGTCGGCAAATTTAGCGTCATCTGGAACTTCCAGCAGGTAAAGATCAGCAACCACGAGTGCTACAAGAACCAGGAAGGGCTGAAGAGTTGCTATTGCTACAAGGTCGTCCCGAAGGATGAATCAATCGTGGACAGCCGCTTCATGCACGAGAAGTTTGCAGTTAGTGAATCTCCCGAGGCTCCTCTGGTTGTGGCCACCCCGATGAAGGTTAGCTCCTTCAGTATATCAAGCAGGCGGTAACTATAGAGATCCTGTTGTCATTAGGACTGCTGAATTCCTGTTAGTTTGAATCAACTTTTATGTAGAAAAGCTTAATCGAATCAATGTTGTCTGATGTATCAAGACCCCTGTTTGTGATCAACATGTGGATTTCTCAAATGTTCCACCAATTTGACTTCAACATGTGGATATTCATTTCCTTTCTTGCCCTTTCTTGGTCTTTAATTCATTTTTCAAGTCTTATTCTTGAAGAGCAATCTGGTGATCGAAATGTTGTAGTATCAGTATATAACTGGTTTATTTGGGTATATTCTCTCGTTCAAATTCCTATTGTAAATTTATATATGTAGTATTAAAATCTCATATATATTATAATATATTTATATTATTTTTATTTAGTAATATGATTTATGATGTTTATGCTTCATAAATATAATAAATAATATATTTATATTTTTATCTTTTAAAGTTAAAAAATATATATTTTTTAAAATATTATTGTTAGTGTTCTATGAAACGTTGGTTAAACATATATAAACATTTATATTTATTTTAAGTATATCTTGTAGCGTAATATCATGGACTTAGCTGGTTTTGTTTAAGTCGTGCGGCACCCTTGCGTGTCCTTACGTGTCCGTCCGCAAAGGTCAGTCTCCCCGAAGTCTCCCATTGTTCCTTAGGATCAACAAAAAAGAGAACGGGCTAAAGAGAACGTTTCAATCGAGATCCACGAGCAAACATCTCCGAAAACACTTCATAGACAATGCAAATTACAAACAGACTTACAAGCTCTGAACAGTTGCACAACAAAAGGTAAAATGATCCATTACAGACCGAAAATCTCTTACACGTGTCCACATGAGAACATTTATTTACAAGTCTAAAGAGGCCACCAACCCAACTAAAATGAGACTATTAAGCCTTCGACCGCCCCTCTACATGCTGTACAAGGCATGAACATGCCAAAAGACACGGACATACATAAGCATTACATCAAACATCTTATTTAAAAGTTTGTCCGTGACAATAAAGTATAATGGATTTTAATATAAAATTAAATTATGATAATAAATATGTATATAATTATTAGAAATGATAATTAAATTTTAATTGAATGAATCTCAATACTCGAATAGATTTGATCATGATTAAAATAGAAAAGTTTGACTTTTAAATATCATGTATATTGAGGATAATAAATTAAATAAAAATAAAAAGGAGTGTTATATTAAAAATATTAAGATACATGAATAAAATTGAAGAATGAGTTTAGATAAAAAAAATTATCATTATCAAATCAAATGAGACTCGATTCAAGTTGCTAATAATTATATTAATAAATAAAATATATATACGAGATCAAAGAGATAAGGTAATTAATATGATAACAAAATTAGCAAAGAGATAATCTACACAACTAGAATAGTTACATGCCCGAGAATAAGAGGCGATGTCGATAATAGCTTACCAATCTTTAAATATGATATAGATCCACAAATAACTTGTATGCTACGGAAAGATGCTTATCACTAGTGGGATTCAAGAAGGGGATTACATATGCTGAATAAATGATCTAAGAAAAAATTAAGATTTTTTATAAAATAATATTTCAATATAGCCCACTAATTCATCAAAATGATATAATTTATTAATTTCAAACAAGAAGACCAATCGCTAGTAGATTACATTAAAAAGTTTGAGGACTTATCTTGATTTGTACTCTACATGGTTAGCATTAATAACTTGGGATGGATCAATTTATATAAAGACTAAAAATAAAAATTTATTAGGATGTGAAGATGACAATGAATGTCCTAAGCATATCTTATTCCCTAGTAGGCTCCATAGCAGATTCTGGGTAAAAACCAACAAATGTTCCCCCAAAATGTGCCTTTGACGGTTAAAATGCTGGAAGACAAAACCAGCAAACTCTTCTATGATGGAAGAGACATTTTTGTTGTCCTACAATGCGAAACACCCAATTCGTTATATCCCGCGACCTGAAAAATCAAGGGGAGGAAAAAAGAAGACTTCAGCACCACGCAACACATAAATTCCAATAAACTCGTGTCACTCATATATAAAGCTATGAGCATACAGAATTCTGCAACGCATTGTAGTACAACACTAGAAAACCATACTCTCCTAGAAAAGACTAGGAAAACCAGCACACACCCCTGATACATGATTAAACACCGGTGCTCCAATTAACGTCTGACAAAGGTGAGTAACAGTGTGATATTAGTACAAACGAATGCATAAAATGATTGCATATGAACAAGGAAAGAATAATCATGTTACATTTTCAAAGTAGAAGAAGATAGTATTGTATCTGCCTAAAAGTCTTGCTAAACATTCCGGTCATCGTTGTTAATACGTGACCATCTGTGTCATGATCCAATTTCCATATAGCAAGCCTAAAACTACGTAACCCAAAAATGTTATAAGTTGATCTAACTCTATATACAAACACAATCCATTTTCGCTTCATTGCAAGAATTATTAGGTCTCATGGTCAATAAGGACCAAGTAGCTTACGATCATATTCTAGTAGGCGAGCATGCGAGACTTAGTCATGGCCAAATAATAACTCTAAATCGTGATGTATCTCTTGCACTATCCATGGATATTCTGTCATACTTAATTAATCCACTTACTGTGCATCATAGTAATAGGTTCATTTTGATATCAATTATCATGTCTCGATCTAATATACCTACTATCAATTAGTTAGATATTGTCGGCAAAAAACCCCATGGTCCAAAAAAATAAGTATAATCATCCAGTCCTATATACCACTCATAGTATCCACTTTTAGTGTCATGCCCAAAGTAACACAACTACGAGAAGATCACACCAAGCACAAATCACCATCATTCAAAATCCAATATTACATAACTATAGTTCAAGAAAATCTTTATTTCTGATAGATTTGATCAAAACCTCACAATTTCATAATACTTTAAGTGCTCCAATGCAAATCAATTAACGATCTCATACATCCAAACCAAATCCTCTTTCTAGCTCCTAACCTGTGAATCACCTGCAAAAATCATAACTAGGCAAACTTGGATCTCGGACTTTCATATAATTGATTCCCTTTCCAGTTTCCACATATCCAAAATAACTTGCCATAACAGTTAACAAAGTCACACGAACAGCATAAATTAGTCGAATTCCCAATCAGTTTCAAAAGCTTAAGACAGTCTAATCCTTTACATGCCTTTTCACATAAATACTTATGAGAGCTAGTTAATTTACTTGAAGTTGTACCATCAATCCACATTTAAATCCCTCACCCTAAAATCTGAGTTGATCACGTTATGTATTCATCAAGTGACATAAAATGTTCAGTAAAACCATCAACCATTCGTGGTATTGAGATCAGCCACCAGTTTTACAGGATTCTCGTTCTTGTTTAGTAGATAACATGAACAGGAGACAATAATCGAAGAACATCATAGTTTATGAATTCTAAAGAATGCTCAGGCTTGCTAATGAACATTTGTTTCGTGTACCTCAATCTCGTGATGACAAGAATAGATTATTCGACAAAACAGAAGCATAAATCACAAGGGTTTGAAATCCAATTACCTAACCGGAACCGACGATGATATTGTTGATCGGGATAAAGATGAGTTTGACGAAGAACCCTACGAATCCCATCACCACGAACCCGATCGCTGTACGGATGGCCACCTTCGTGAACTCTGCATCCTCGATCCGTTCAAGATCCATCAGAATCCAAACCAAAAACGAAGATCCGAGGGCCAGGGAGCACCCGATAGCGCTGAAAGGCCAAATCGTAAGGGGGAAAAAGACCTCGGGTAAGAACTTACCCTTTCGGTCGGGCTTGTGGCACCGCTTGACGAGGCGGACGCTGTCCTTGGCGAACTCCCTCAAGGGGTCGACGGCGGAGTCGAGGGCGTCCATCTCGATCGCGGATCACAAAACCCCACGCTCGAGATCGAGACCGATGTGAGAACGATGACGACCGGAGAGTCGGAAGAATACGGCTGTTCGAGAGGTTATCGGTAACCCTAGCACTCCAACTTCCGATCAGCACCGTCGGATTAGTCTCATTGACTGAATCAACGGTCTCGATTCCTGCTATTGTTGTCACCTGCCACGTCGGCATTAAGATGCGTGCTATTGTGTTTCGATTTTTAATCTTTTTTTATAATAAAAAAGAAGAAAAAATATATTTTACGAAATAATTTAAGTATTAAAGTGGTCTTACCAAAAAAATTTCGGTGTTAGTTTTACAAATGACACTTGTGATGTGATTCTATTCCTTTCACTAATTCACAAGCAGTCAAAGTGATTGCTTTTATCACGTATCAAAATTCAAAGAGTATAATAGAAGTATTTGATTCGGCGTCGGGTAGAATTACCTTATAGATTCTCTAGCTTTTGTTCATGGATGGAGAACAAAGATGACAAGACCTCCTTCGATATCTCATCATCTAACTATAGATACCAAAAATGAAAGGTGTGTAAACGTTATTATTAAATATCTTATTTAATAATAATATAATCATTCTCATTAAGATTCATAATTTATTATCATGAATTTCTTTATTTATTATGGTTTAAATAATTTTAGTTTTTTATTCATTATAAATAAAATTATTATTATTAAATTAAAAAAATATTTAATATTATTAAAATATTAGTCTGATGCATACATTCAAATATTTAATATTATTAAAAAAATATTTAATATTATTAAAATTCTCATTAAGAACATGCATTTCACTACATATTTATGGATAGTCGACAGGCGGTACAAAAAGCAGAAAACGAAAGTAAATGTGAAGGGACCAACAGTCCCTCTCCGTACGAGCTTCAGCTGAAGCTCTATCCCTTCAATTTTCACCCCATACAATGATACAGATAATTCTATCAGAAATAAGAGGATCTAACCTTAGTTAAAAACAGAGAGAGAGAGAGAGAGAGAGAGAGGGAGTTCATGAGACAGAAAAGCTATCTGATCACACATTATATATTACATGAGCAGTGTGTTTTTCCAGAGAAGTGATATGATTCGTCCACATGATCGACAGAAAACGAAGCTGAGACATGATATTTGTGGCAAATACATATAGGAAGAGCAAGAACAAACCATAGTCTTATTTTGATCTCTTTCGCTAGCTTCCATCTCAATATATTTCGTCGACTTTAACTGCAACAGCAGCGGGAAAACCGGTGTAGATGTATTCCCCTTTCACCGTCATGACCTCTTCCAATCCGTGGCTCTTCCTGCACTCGTAATAGAACACTGTGTACACAGCCATGGCATAGATCTCCCAAACTGCAGTCGCAGCTGCCACGATGCACCAGAGCTTCATCTGCGCCTCCGGCGGCCGAGGCGGCCCTGGCGACGCTAAAGCGAGACCAAAGGCTCCAAAGATCGCCGTCTCTACCACCTTCAGTATGAGGGTGAGTATGGTCCCTTTCTTCTTGTTGCCTATGAAGAGCTCGACCGACCAGGAGAGGGCGCCGATCCCCCAGGTCTCCTCGACGACAGTGATGACGAGGCTCATACACCACCTAGTGGAAAGGTAGAGGTACAAAAGGACTGCAACGACGCCTGCGGTGGCGACCGTCGGGACACGGGAGACCAGCATGAGGGTGCCGATGACGAGCGAGGACAGGAGTGCAAGTCCAAGGGTCAGAAGCACCACGTAGAGCCGCGTGACCAGGGTTTGGTACGACCGGCGGCCGACCCGGAGCAGCAGCTGCTTGGGGGACAAGCTCCGGTTGGTGTAGGCCATGGCGAAGGTGTACATGGTGGCAACAATGAGGAACAGAGAGACGAAGAAGAAGACGAAGGCGACGCCGGATGTGAGGCTGGCGATGTCACGGAGGTCCTTCTCTATTTCGTGGAAGAGGTTAGGGGGCTCCGGGCCGATGGGGTTCCTGAACAGGGGAGAAAGCTTGGAGACCAGGTCAAGGACGAGAGGGGAGATGGAGTAGGCGGAGAGGAAGAGGAGAGAGGAGGAGAGGAGGGTGAGGAGGAGGAGGTAGAGGAAGAGGGTTCCTGCCTTGACAGGGAGATGGAGTGCTTCCCACAGGATCTGGAGGACGCCCATGAAATCGGAGGCGGCAGCTGCCATGGTGGCCTGTGGCCGTGAGCAGATCAGGGAGAGCTAATTGAGGCTGAGTACTGCAGAAAGAAGAGGGTGTGAGATGATTGTGGTGTCTTCTTCTCTCCTTCTTCTTCCTTTTTCTTTTGTTGACACTGACAGGAGAGGCTGTAGAGAGTGCATGGTAAACTATCTTGAGGGGGTAAGCATTGGCTTCAATTATTAGAGGTAGCTCAGATGGCTGGCCCACACAACCACATTACTAGATGTATCCAATGAGTAAATGCCAAATACACGCAAAAGATTGATGTGCCATGGCGATGGAGTACCGCGGGGTAGAGAGCTCGGCCATCTCATATATATATATATATATATATATATATATATATATATATTGGAACCAAATCTGAACCGATATCTTATCGACCCATTAATCCGATTTAATTTTAATTTAATTCAAATTTAAATCATAATCAGGGTTATAAAAAGTTGACATAGTTGAACTCATACAGACTTCCTGATTAGGGTTTGAGTTGAACCTGAGCTTCTCATTCGAGTTCAAATTGTTAGGCAAATCATCATTATAACCATAAAACAGAAAGTCATAATATCCTAATTATCTGAGATCGAATATATGAATTTTTCTTTTTTTTCATCATTGAGCTTCATAACAGTATATTCTTAGTTAAAATTAAGAGTCCTTAAAGTTTTTACATATAAATTTTAATTTTTTTGGATTTGCTTATATTTCTCCTTATACCTCTAATAATAATTATTTATATCATCTAACTATAACATGTACATATGTATTAGCGTATTTATATAGTATTTTTTTTTCTCGTTTTATCCTCTATTAAAGTTCATCTAATCTAATTATTTATGAATGAAATTATTATTATTTTATTTTCCCACCTGATTATTCTATAAATCAGCATACCCAAAAATAACTTCTCTATGTTTATAATAGAAATGTATTTGGATTAGACCACTTGCAAGTTTCAATAGTATTTTTATCAATTTCTAAGCATTCTAGATTGTCAGAATAAAATCTGTAATCATGCTATCTATTACGTGAAAAAACTTTCATATTAGAATCTAAAATCAAATAACAATGGATCTAAATAATATTACGATGTGTACCTTTCATTATTATTTAAAAAAATAAAGTTTATCTGATCTACAAGCACATCGTCATCGAATCTGAGATGCCAATATGCAAAAATAACTAGACTCACCTTCTTTTTTTTCTTCAGGAACACAAGAATATGAGAGAAGATATTTAATTTTTCGTTAATTAATTCACACGACTAAAGAGAGATGAAAAGAAGAACTATAATGAGAGATGGAGAGAAGAACTATAATCTATTCATTATGTCATGTCTCTTATGTTATTATGTTCTTATGATATATTCCTAGGAGATCTTGTCTATTTATAAGCGAGAGCAATGAGTTTAGGATAAATAATTAGGAGAGTTCCTCCCGTCAAGGGCGTCTCCTAATAAATCTTACCTTAATTAGGCTTTCTTTCTATTAACCAATAACCATAATTAGAATCTAATCATATCCATAATATATCTTATCTAATTAAATAGGACCATATAATATAATATTAATATCAACTAATTCTACCCAGTAATAATAATCCTTATATATTAAGTGTTTATAGTTTCTCCACATTATTTTATTGGTTCTAATGTGATCTCAAATTTTAATTTTAACTGAGAACAAGTGATATACTGAGTGCTTGGGGAAGTTTGCCAATATGCATGGAGCATTGGCTTCAAGAACACCAAAATATGTTGATTGATAAGCATTGTTGCATCACCTTTTCTTGGAAGTATTTCCACAAGAGATGCTTCTTGGTTGCACTGCTAATGTGACCAAAAGACATGTTGGTACCCATTCTTCATCCAGAGAAGATCACTACCAACTTTTAGGTGATGAAGAAGACAGAAACTGAGTGGACTAATTTGTCTGAAACAAGTGTTTGTGTCTATGTATTTCTCAAGCTAGTAGGAGATAGTAAATTCTGAATGAACTTGTATCGACTTAAATTGTTAGGCAACAAATCCATCTGAGAATTGATTGTGCCTTGTTCTGATGCCATCAGAACAAAAAGTCAAAGCCATCCTTTCTCTTCCTTTCTCCATTAAGAGAGTGACATTCAGATAAAATGGCAAAAGCAGAGACCACTTAGCACTATATAAATAAAAGTCAATCAACCCATAGATCTTTTTCCTCAAAATATGCTCCCAATAGTTGAGCCATGGAGATGTATATGATTGCAACATACACACACATATATTGGCATTAACCCGTAGCATTTGAATTTGAAATCTCTGTGGATCTCATCGATTAGCTGACAAGCATTAATTGATAGCACCTGAACTTGGGAGGAAACACTTGCATCTTTCCTTCTTCTCATTTACTAGCTTTAAATGAGAAACACCAGAAGAACCGGTTAATGTCTGTTTACGAGTGCTTTTGCGTCATAGAAGATAAGATTTTTTTAACTATACAAACAAATCTCTCTATTTCATAGAGAAAAATTCTTTATTCTATTGAGAGAAATTCTTCCTCTTAATCTGTATAAATAGGAGAGAGATATCTTAATGTATTTAAGCTAAAGCTTCTTCGATAAAGTTTCTTCAATAATTCTTCTTATCTTCTATTCTTCTCATCATGGTATCAGAGCAGTGAGAAAAGTGAAGCTTCGCTCTTGCCTTCGGCCAGCGACCAACGCCGTTGAGAAAAGCAAAGCTTCACCCTTGCCTTCGGCCAGCGACCAACGTCGCTGTAGCCAAATTCCTAAGAGGCTCAACGACCAATCCTCATCTTCCTCACCGCGATAGTCTTCGTTGATCTGCCAACAGTCGACGGACTTAAGGAGAACGAAAGGCGGACTTAAGGGGAACGAAAGGAACGCTTGTGCCCTCACAGCAACAGCAATCGTAGCAGAAGCAATGATCTGTTCTTGCTCTACTCACAAAGTCTCTTGCTCGTAAGTCATTCTTTGCATCGGTCCAAGATTAGTAACCTTGACAAGAGCACCATCTTGCGGGGGCATGATAGAAGATAAGATTTTTCCAACTATATGAGGAAATCTCTCTATTCTATTGAGGAAAATCCTCTATTCTGTTGAGGAAAATCCTTCCTCATAATCTGTATAAATAGAAGAGGGACATGTTAATGTATTCAAGCTAAAGCTTCTTCAATAAAGTTTCTTCAATAATTCTTCTTATCTTATATTCTTTTATCTTCTATTCTTTCTATCATAATATCAGAGCTTTCGCCGTAAAGGCCACTTCTAAACATCTCGAAGTAGACCCATCTCCCCGTCGGACTCCATCGAATCTCGGCTCCTTCTCCTACTACCTCGTGGACTACGACTCTATCTCAAAGTAGTACAGCGTTTTCCACGGACGTCCTCCAGGATCGTTGCATCGACCTCCTTCGAAGCTGAACAAGGGCCACCACGTCGCACCCTCTTCTCCTCCCTGCGCCAGCGACATTCTTTACTACCGCCCTTCATCTGCCTCTTCCTGCAGAAGCAGAGCCGACGCAACCTCGCAATTGCTCCCAGGCCAACGATCTCTCCTCCTCGTTCTCGCATCTCGCTCAAGCGAGAAGTGTCGCTGCCGTCGTTCGCCGCAGCAGCCCTCTTTGTCGCAGCAGCTGCAGCAGCAATGATATGCTCTTCTCCCAAGTTGCTATGCTCTGCTTCTTTTTCCTTTGCTACAGCATTGTTATAGCTTTCTCTATTACTGTAATTTTTTTGAGGGACATGTTAATACATTCAAGCTAAAGCTTCTTATCTTCAATAAAGCTTCTTCAATAATTATTCTTATCTTCTATTATTTTCATCACGAATAATTCCCTTCGACATAAAACTATCTTGCTGATAAAGAAATTGAAGTGCTTACCATGGCTGAGGCTCATAGAATTATGAAGATAAACATGATCGAGAAACCTAATTTTGACTTAGCTGTTCATCATGAAGATTGAAGAAGCCAGAGCTGTAGATCCATCATAACATTTGGTCTTTGTAGTGTACATTAATATTTTAAAATATACATTAATGTTAGTGGAACTCAAATGTTGGTCGAGCTTTTCATATACATATCATCTTCATGGAATATGGATGACAGCTCTGAAATGGCTACTAATAGTTGCAGATATATCTCAATTTTGCTATCATGCTTGATTGTTCTGATGACCAATGGACTCTCTCATGCATCCAATGAAACCATGCAATCAAATGAGTAGAAGTGATAATACCAATCAAATGCATTGAATATTGATATGTTTACACTCAAACAGAAGCACTTTTTCCACCTCTTTCATGCACATCAGTTTTAGCCTTTGGTAAGAAACATATCCATGAAATTCCATCAAGATCCTAAAGAATATGCAAATGGAGACTTTGGAGGACTATATCTGAATGATGTTTACCTTTTTTTACTGATGTGAACTAGCAGCTGCTACATTGTCGATATCAGATGTGATTACCCACCTTGTTCTGTCTTCCTGCTAACCAAAGCAGTGTTCTTCTGGCAAATGAAGGTGACTCCTCAGCCCCAGAAACTACACTACCATGTTTAGAGCTGCCTATCTCCTCATCCAAATCTACTTCACTTGAACTCTTCTTCTCCCATGCCGAAACATTGAATTCTGAGGTAGTCGTAGCAGGGCTGGCATAGCTCTTCAGCTTCGATTCATCGGTCGTCGCCTGACGCAATGGCAATCGGAAAGAGAAGGCTCGTCTGGAAGAGTCATCATCAGCCATGGACTTCTCCTTGGACCGAAGCCATATCTTGGAAACCGAGAAGCATTGTTTCACATGTAGATTACTGCTCATGCCAGAATTACCACCATCATCTCTGAACTCCGTAGCTCTCGGTGCAAGCAATCCTTTAGACCCTTCCCGTCTTGAATGGCAATCGCATTCGGGCTTCTTGATGCTTGGCTTCTTTGGTGGATCGATGGGAACCTTAAGCAAGCTGTTATCATCCACTACATACTCGTAGGACCCCATGGAGAAGCACCTCCTCTGGTCCAGATCGCTATTGGCAGCACTGTCACCTTCACCGACAGTTGCATCAACATCCACACTCCTAAACTTGCCGAGCTTAACAGGTGCCACCTCTGTTCTGGAAGCCTCCGAAACCGCCACTGCCTTGCCACCTTCTTCCTCTGTTGCGACTTCCACCGGCTTATGCAAAGTGTCGCTCATGGAAGGACCATAGTCATCATCACCAACAGGACCAAGATTAGAATTAGGGACAGAGACTCCCCTCCCAGAACCAGATTCTCGTGGGCTCTCACTTCCAGACCCGAGAACAAGGACTATGGGACTACAACTGGTGGTCGGAGAGATGTTACCGAACAAGCTTCTTCTGCAAAGAGGACAGGTGGAGTGGGATAGGAGCCAAGTATCTATACAGTCCAGATGGAAGGCATGGCTGCACTTTGGGAGCAGCCGGAGCTTGTCATCAGCCTCGAACTCAGAGAGGCACACAGCACAATCGAACGGGTCCTTGACGCCTATGATGGCTTTATAGAGGAAGACTGGGAGGGTGTCTATGAAGGACTGGTCCACCCCGGCATCATGGAGACGGAACAGTTGCTGCAGCTGGCCTTGGAGCGCTGTAACATTGTTCATGTCTTCGGGCTCCCTGTTGATAGGTCTCAGGAGGTGCCTCGCAAGGAGGTGGAGCAGCCCAGAGACGAAGAAGATGACTGCTAGTAGCACCACTATCAGAAAGATACTAGGACTGAACCGATTCTCGAAATCAACAGCAGGAGGAAGAAGTGGTGGTGGCGGTGGTGGTGAGAGGACTGCTAATCGACGAAATGCCCACTCCATGTTTTGTCAAGGCCTACAGAGTGACAAATATGAGATAAGACTCACCACTTGTGCTGGAGCAAGCACTCAAGGGTTCAGACTTCTGATGTCTGGAGGTGGTGGAAGGCAAAGGAGCAAATGGTGTCTTTAATGGGGGGGGGGGAGGAAGTTAATGGTGTGCCAGCTGATGGTGTCGAGACATAAATGAATCGATTGCATTGGAGGAAGGGAGTAACGTGAGATTAGTTATAATAAAGGCCACCACTGGGTTAATGGAATTGAAATGGAGTTTATGCATGTAGAGAGAGTGCTGCACCACATGGCAATAAGATAAAACAGTAGGTGGTAGTGAGGTGCCGTCATCACATGAGACTTCAAATCCAGAGCTTCTCTTAACTCTTCTTCTGCACTCTCCTGCTTTGGTTGTCCATGTCAGGGGATGGTTCAAAGCTTAGAGATGGAGGCTCTGAAGAGCATCTTTGTCTCCTCCACTTCTCTTCTGATGGCTTGCGAGCAAGGGAAGGGACGGGGATTGCGTGGCTGTGATGCATGGGATGGGATTGCTTGGGGGTGTCGTAGGGACGTGGACCTCAAAATTGGTGCGGGGACCGATGAGAAAGGGATGGGTGGGAAATGTTGAGCCCAACATTGGAATCCGGGTGGGACTTAATTGCCGTGTGGAGCCCAGCATTGGAACCCGAGTGGGACTTCATTGCCTTGAGCTTGGGATTTGGTTCGGTCACATTGAAATGTGCACCGATGGCAGCATCTCCAATTCACCTCGATTCCGATTTCATTAAATCCGGTTTCATATAGAGAATAAGCATTCGAGTTTGATATGGTTTCATAAATATTAATAGATACTACGAAGGTTTAAAATCTTTCTCAGAAATCGGTGTATGTTAATTTAGCTAGTATGTTAAGATATATTTTCTTTTGTACGATTATTTTCGTTGCACTCGATATAAAGGATTATTTACTTTATCGATCTCTTTGTTTTAATCCATGTCGTTACCTCTTTGAAGTATTATCTGCATCCATTGATTTGATGATGCATATGAATAAAATTTTATTTTTTATTGTAATTAAATTATTTTGAATATTTTAACTAAAAAAAAAAGTCATTGCGTCTGAGTCATCTTGAATATATCATGAAACAATAATAACTTAGGGTAATCTTTACTATAATCATTAAGCCTATTAGAGGTGAGTCTTTAATTAGGTTATCGTTCCAAATTAGGCTAAAGTTATATATATATATATATATATATATGCATAAAAATCGTGATTATATTATTATTATACAAAAAAATTAATTTTATAAATTAAAATAAAATAATGATAGATCAATTTTATAATACGTACCTGCTATTTAAAAAGTTTGTAGATGATCTCTAAGCGTACTATTGTCGGATCTAAAAATTATAATGATGTTGATATGCAAAAAAAAAAAAAGTTAGACTTATCATTCTTCTCTCTTTCTATCATTCATGTACCATTATGATCAATGGATTTAACGATAAGAGAGAGGGGTTTTATTTATTTATAGATAAGAGCAGATGATCTAGGATAAGTAATTAGGAGAGTCCCTCTTATCAACATTATCTCCTAAGAAATCCTACTATAATTGAACTTCCTTATTATTAATCGATAATTATAACTAGAATTTACCCATATCTATAATATATCTTACCTAGTTAGATAGAGCAATATAATCTAATATTCTTTCACTTTACCCATTAATAAGTAAGATATAAAAAAATTTAAAATGAAAATAAATAAACCAAAAGCTTACTTGAAAATAATTTTATTTAATTAGATTCTAAAATTTTAAAAAAGTATTTTACACATGTGCATGAATTTTATAAAATAAACTAATAAATTCAATAAATATAATAATTTATTAAGTCTAACTATCAATACGAGTCATAACGGTTGTATATCATCAATATTATAATTCTTTCTATTTACCATAACATTGCTAATTTTTCCTAGTGTAGTTCAAACTGATCATTATAATTTATCTTATCAAGATAATCATGTTATACACATTCAACCATAATATGTATATGTAAATATAAACATATAAATATAAAGAGGATAGTAGAAACAAATAACTTTAAGTATATAAACAAAAATATCAATTATAATGTCTACTTAAATATATATCATCGTATCTTTTATAGGTTGCTTATAAACTTGATTAGAAGAACATGTTTTTCAAATACTTTAGATTGTAAATTCTAAGTAAATAGATCGATAATCAATATAGTAAAACTCAAGTTATTAATTGAAATTAATTATTTTTATATTTTTTTATATAATCATCAAGTACTTTATACCATAATGCATAGAACTATTAGAGTACTTATTATTCTTAGAGAAGAAAATTATTACGATATTTCAGAAAGTATATTTAGTGACATCGTTATTAATAATTATTATAAAATTAAGTCTTTTATCTTTTTTGATTATTTATCTTAATTATTTATTCGATAGAACTTCTAGTAATTGTATGTGTGATCTTTTAACTAGTCTGATCAAGATCTAACACACCCAATATAAATTACATATGCTTAAACTATTTATAATAATTTAATCCAAAAAATATAGAGATATTTTTGAAGGAAGTACCACTATAATAAAATATTATAATATTATTATTTTTAGTTTTTTAGTAAATATTGAATTATTGATATCACCTCTATTTCAACTTTGGGTAAACTATTGATATATGTATAGTATTCATATAAAAATTATTTATGAATGACTGATACTATTCTTATAGAATTCTTTTCTACTTTTGGGTATACAATCCTAAATTAATGAATATCCAAAATAGTATTATTCTACCATTTTACATAATTATTTAAAATATATTCTCCTTTAAAATTATATAAATCTCTTAATAATATATGTCATTATGAATATTATTTAGGACTAATTCGTTAATGTCATTTTATAAGTTACTGATCTATGTCACTTTGACAACTACAAGACTAAAAATATAAAACATAATTTAAAATATCCTATAAATGATAAAAAATTTATTATAATTTACATCTTATAATCCTATCATATCAAGCCACTTTGGTAGCTACTAATTAGATAAAACTTTAGGATACAAGTTACAAATAATATTCACTAAATTTTTTAATCTAATTTATATCAAAATAGTTTAATAATAAAATAATAATTATTAAACTTTAATAAGTATATAAAAAAACTTATATGATCATTGTAATCATAATAAATCATAAATTATGCCTTTTATGTGAAAAATAAATATTATTTCATAATTTCATGCATATGTATGTGAATAATCAAATAAATACCAAGAATAATAGTTAGATTTTTAATCATCACATGAAAAATTTTATCAATAAGTCATGTGAGAAAACTATAAAAGAAAACTATATATATATATATATATATATATATATATATATATTAGTCAACCCTATTTAATTGAGTAGGCTTAAAATTGGGCTTAATATAAGCTCAATTAAATTAATCAAATATTGATCAAAATTTAATTTTTTTTTTCAAATTCGATCAAAACCCAATTGATTGAATCTAAATCCAATTAAGAAATCAAAATACAATCACGATCAACTCTAATTAAAATATTCAATTAAAATAAATTAAATTAGTTAATTTTATAATTAAGAACATAAATAATAAAAAATTAATTACTAGAGGGAAAAATTATAATTTTACATGGGATATATGGTGAAAATATCATATTTATGAAGGGTATAACTATCAAAGTTAAATTAAGGACATTGATTAAAGTTTTTTTAAAATTTCAAGGGTAAAAATATCATTTTCTAACAAAATCTAGTTCTCTTTTGCAGTAGCCACCGCACCCACACGCATGGGTCTCGCTAGTGGTGCACCAATTGTTCGTCACCTGTGCACCACTCGTGGTGGCATGACTATTCACATATGATTGATCGATGACCTCACCATCATCGCACCATTCCACTGTGCCCATGTGCGGTTATGCGCCATCATCGTGCTATGCTATGTCGTCGTGCCCACGCACATGAGTCTTGCTATTGGAGCATCGACTATTCATCGTATAATCATTAGGTATCATGGTCTTTGATTATCACTTGCACATGCAATAGCACTACTATAGTCGTCGTAATCGTCACATGTAGTGACACTACTACAACCGCCACATGTAGTGGCACTACTACAACCGCCACATGTAGCAACATTATTACATTTGCTATGAGCGCTACAAGGTTGTCACACTCCATGGTGCTTTCATTGCATATGCAGTCACTATTAGTGACTAGGCTGCCGACCACAAGAGTTTACGGTCCTCAATAATACTGTTGTCAATAACAAGCTGTTGATGGTAGTTTATTAATCAAACACGAGGAGCCTTGCATCGTCCACAGGTAGGTAACATTATGGATTAGATAGAAAATAGATTGTTTAAGAATTGTAAATCAAAACCAAATAACACCTTTTACAAGTGAATGGTGATAATAAATAGATCTAAAATATTTTTTTATCTAAAGTATTTGATTTCAAAATATGGATATGGTATCAAATGTAAGCATATAAATCATGATTATGCTTTTGTTACGTGAAAAACTTTAATACTAGAAATTAAAATCAAATAATGATAAATCAAGTTTATAATACATACCTTTTCGATACTACTTAAAAAATCTTTATTTGATCTATAAGTACACCATCATTGGATCCAAAAGTGTAATAATGTTAATATGCAAAGAAAGCTAAACACCTTCTCCTCTCTTCCTATCATTCATAGGACCTCTACGAGTGATAGATTAGGGATAAAGAGGAGATAAGAGAATATTTGTAATCTTTCAATAATGTCACATTTTCACGTTGTGTCCCTTGAAGATCCTATCTATTTATATGCGAGAGTAGAAGGTCTAGGATAAATAATTAAGGGAGTCTTTCCTATCAAGATCATCTCCTAAAGAATCTTACAATAATTAGACTTTCTTTCTATTGACCGATAGCCATAACCAAAATCTAATCATATCTATAATATATCTTATATAATTAGATAGGATCATATAATCTAATAATATGAAGTCAAACTAGGTTCCAAATGCCCTCTCCCTCTTTTATTTGTGATGGTCTAATCCTCGGGGAAGATAGGTGCTTCATCTTTCTTCTCTCTTTGGCAATCAAGGTGAGCGATATCTCTCTGTTTCTTCTCACCCGTTATTTTCTCTTATGTCCAATCTTATTCACTGCATCTTTAGTTTCCTACCTACCATTTTCATATCCTTTCGTTTAGATTCCATTCTAATATTTTTTTATCATTTTCTCAAGTTTTATTTTTGTGATCTTTATTTTTTTCCAAATTTCTTTTGTTTTCTTAAGATCACCAGAGTTATAGGAAAGGATGATGATTTTTTTTGATCTTTTAATTTGTTTTCCTCCAACAAATATAAAAAAATAAATCTTTCAAAAAAAAAAAAGGATGATGATTAGCTTTTCATAATGAAATTATGAAATATAAGTTTTCGTGATCCCCAAATCATTACTTTTCTTCTATAAAGTTCAATGTTACTATATTAAAAATATTAAACAAATAAGTTTGTAAGAATTTAGACACTTAACAAAGTTAAAAGGCATATTATAGTTTATGTAGTGTTCTCTGATATAATTTTTTTATTTTATAGTTGAAAAATATGTTCATGTTCTTCTAATAATTTTTACTTAAGACTTATTTTTCATCAATTTAATAAAAAAATATTTATCCTCTATTAATCACTCCTTGATCATCGTTATCTTCGTTGTTGCCACCTTCAAAAATACCATGAATCATAGATATACGAAAAAAGAGTCATTAAGTCTATTACAATTAAGTCTTTAATTTGATAGTATTTGAGTATATCATGAATCAATAATAAATTAGGTTAATATTTAATTAGATTATTATTGGGTCTATTAGAATTGAGTTTTAAATTGGGTTATCATGGGGAATTAGGCTAGAGTTATATAGGCTCAACCTAAGTTTCCTTCCCCTCTCGAATTTGTGATAGTCCTAAATCTTGGGAAAGATCGTTGTTCATTTTTATTTTCACTTAGCTATTGAGATGAGTGATATCTCTTCATTTCTCTTTATCTATTGTTTCTTCTTATCTTCATCTTGTGTCCAACTGATTATTTTTATGCATTTTGGTTTAGATTCCATTCTAATATCTTTTATCATTTTCTCAACTTATTTTGCAAAAGCCCTTTAGAGTTAGGAGTTCCAATAAATACAACAATTATTCTTTTATTTTTCTTTCCTCCTCTAATAAATATAAGAAAACAACTAAATCTTTTAAAGAAAATGGGAGTATGGATTGATTTCTATAATGAAATTTAGAAATATAGGTTTTTTATGTGAAATATAGAATATATTTTTAAAAGCTCTCTTTTGAGGGGTGATTCTCAAACTATTTTCTTCTATAAAGTTTAATGATTTTGTATTAAAATTATTAAATAAATAATTTTATAAGAATTTAGATACTCAATAAAATTTAGAGTTATATTACTATTTATGTAATGTTCTTTCAGCATTCTATAATATCTTCCTATTATATAATAAAAAAATTATTTCAAACACAAAGAAAGAGGCTAAATTCGATTTCTGATTTTTGACAATGACTAATCACTACTTAGCGAATGATCTTAAAGTAAATGGTAATGTTATAGGTTCTTATACCACATCATATGCAACTTATTAATCCAATCAATTTCTTCTTATAAGCAACGAACATAATAAATGGTAGAGTTCCAAAAGCCCTTTAGCCAACCGAAAAAGAATTTACACCCGAGAGAAGCAAAAAAGTAAGTTGCTCGACACACAAGGGCACAAGTAAGGGCACGAATAATATAGTTGAGATAAAGGTTGGGTTCATTCTAGTAGTTTTTTACTTAGGGTATCTTTTTTATTAATTTGATAAAAAAATCTTTTATCCTCCATTAATCACCCCAAACTATCGTTGCCTTCATTGTCGTCACCTTTGAAAGTGTCATGAATTTGAGACATGCAAAAGGAGGCCCATTTAGTCTATAATAATTGAGTTTTTAATTGAGTCATCTTGAATTTATTATGAATCAACAAACAAATTAGGCAAATATTTAATTAGGTCATCATTGGGAATTGAGTGAGTTATACGAGCTCAACTTAGGTTCCATATGCCCTATGCCTCCTCGATTCATGATGGCTGAAAACTTTAGAAAAGGTGGGTGCTTCATCCTTCTCCTCCCTTTAGTGATCGAAGTGAGTGATATCTCTTCAGTTTTTTTCACTCATTATTTTCTTTTATATTCAGTCTTATTTATAACATCTCTAGTATCTCACCAATTATTTTCATGTAGTTTGGTTTAAATCCTGTTCTAATATCTTTTATCTTTTTCAAGTTTTATTTTTACGGAAGTCCTTATGTCTAATTTTTATTTTTTTCCTAGTATTCTCTTGGTTTTATTAAGATATCCGAGTTAGGAGTTCCAATAGGAAAGGATGATATTGCTTTCTAATCTTTTAATTTATTTTCCAATATAAGAAAAAAATCAAATCTTTCAAAGAAAACATGAGGATGATTAGATTTATATAATAAAATTGGGAAATGTAACTTTTCCAAATGAAATAAGGAATAGATTTTTAGCAATTTTTTTAAAAGCAGCATAGGATGATTCTTAAACTATTATTTTTCTTCTATAAAGTTTAGTATTATTATGTTAAAAAATTAAATAAATAAATTTATGAGAGTTTAGACACTCGATAAAATATTACTGTTTATGTAGTGGTCTCGCAACCTACTATAATGTCTTACTATTATATAGTCAAAAAAATATATTAATGTCTTTTCAATGGCTTTTACTTAGGATATCTTTTTCTATCAATTTGATGAAAAGTTATTTATCCTCTAATATTCATCATTGTCACCCTAAAAAATGTTAGGAAGACATGCAAATAGAGTATCATTGAGCCTATTAGTCTTGAATTGGGTCATCCTAAGCCTATCACGAATCAAGAGTTAATTTTTTAATTGAGTCATTGTTGGAATTAGGCGAGAGCTAGATAGGCCCAACTTAGGTTTCATATGCTCTCCCCTTCTTCGATTCATGATAGTTGTAAACCTCGGGGAAGACAAGCATTTCATTCTTCTTCTCTTATTAACAATTGAGATGAGCAATATATCTTCGTTTCTCTTCGCCCGTTGTTATCTCTCATCTTTAGTCTCATTCACTTAATCTCTCACTAATCATTTTCATGTCTTTTAGTATAGATTCCATTCTAATATCTTTTATCCTTCTCTTAAGTTTCGATTTCACTAAAATCCCTCGTGTCTAATATCTATTTTCTTTTAATTTTCTCTTTATTTCCTTAATATCTCCAAGTTAAGAATTCCAATTAGGAAAGGATGATTTTGCTTTCTTATCTTTTGATTTGTTTTCCTCCTCTAATAAATATAATAAAAAAACCAAAAATGAGAGGATGAATAGATTTTTGTTATGTAACAAGGAAATGCAGGTTTTTCAATTGAAATATGGAATATATTTTTTTTAGCTCTCTTTTAGGGTAGCATGGGGTGATTCCCAAACTATTATTTTTCTTCTATAAACTTTAATATTATTATGTTAAAAATATTAAATAAATTAGTTTGTAGGAATTTAGACGTTTGATAAAATTGAATTACTGTTTATGTAGTATTCTTTTAGCCTTCCATAATTTCTTTCTATTATATAGTAAAAAAATATATTTATATCATTTCAATGATTTTTGCTTAGTGTATTTTTATTGTCAATTGCTTAGGGTTTATATCATGAATTGGGTTAATTTTAAATTCGATTATAATTAAGTTGAGTTCTTAATTGGATCGTTGTTGGGACTTAGACCAAAGTTAAATAAACCCAACCTAGGTTCCGTATGTATGCCCTCTCCCTTCTCGATCCATGGTTATAAACCTTAGGGGAAGGAGAGCACTTCATCCTTTTTTTGTTTGGTAATATTACTCTTGCCGTCTCTCCTCACCCATTGATTCCTCTTATCTCTAATCTCATTTAAAAGTAATATTACTATTTATATAATGTTCTCTTAACCTTTTTATAATATCTTTCTATTATATAATAAAAAAAATATTGACGTCTTTCCAATAATTACCTGTTAATATGTAGGTTACTATAATTAGATCTTTTTCTCTCTCATAATTATAGTGACATCAACGCACGGCTCACTCACCCACCAATCGGGACGAGACGAGACGACACGTGGCGAGGCGAGGCTCAACCATCACCAAAGATGGGGTCGAGCGGGCGTCTTCAACTTGCCACATCAACTTGAGTTGAACCGGAATGTTCCAAATGGTTCAACCCAGCCAAGAGAAACCCTATTCCCACCTCGCGATGCCGGCGCTTCTCCTCGCCGTCACTGCTCTCCTCTTTCAACCTACGGTCATAGCTCCTCACCGCTGCCTCCGCTTGTGTTCGCCGCTCCTCCCCGCGCCCATAGCTCCTCGCATCCGTGCGCAGCCATCGAGCATTGGCGGTACCTCCTCTCTCTCTCTCTCTCTCCTTTCCGCCCTCACCCCGTTGAGCCACCTCGACACCCCATGCCTCCTCGTCCGTGCTTCTCCGGCTACCCACCCCTCTTCTTCCCTCCCGCTATCTCTCTCCCTCCTCCACCGCAGCTGGCCCGTCGATCCTCAACGATGCCCCCCTCCCTCGTCCTCCTCCTCCTTCTCCTTTCCTCTTGCTGTCTCTCCTCCTCCACCATTGCCCCCACTGATGTGTCCCCGACAACCCCCTCCCTGTTCCCTCCTCCGTGCTTCTCCCCCTTTCTCCTCCTCATTAGCCGTTTCCCCCAACCTTCCTCCCTCCCTCCTCCTCCTTCGTGCTTCTCCGGCCGATAGTTCTCTGCCGTAATTTGACCATGGCTGACACCCTCATCCCCTCTTTCTGTGTCTCCCCAGCAAAACCGCGGAGCCTCCTTTTTCTCTAATTCTTCCTTCTCAGCTTCTTTCTCTCCCCAACAGCCCCCATCTTTCTTAAATTCAACAGTAATGTTACTTATTAATAACAGTTAATTTTTGTTAATTACAGCCTGCGAAAGGATTAAATTTGTCATTGCTAGTATTTTGGAGTGCCGCTCGTTTTAACATCTTGAATCATTGCAAATGTAGTTTTAGGATTGTTATTCGATTGGAATGATTTTTTTTCTCCTTAATTATATTTTTATAACTTTTTATTTTGACGAGCGTCTTGCTTCGCGTAGCTCGGGCAAGTCGGGCATTTTGGAAGCTTGGAGTCTCAATTTAACTTCGTTATATTCGGGAATTTCTTGGTTAATTGTACAAGTGTATTGTCAATCTGAGCCAGGATGTATGGGAAACGTGCATCCCAGCTTTTAAAAGATCAAGCATGCTGTGAAAATGGACAGTTTACCCCATTTAATGTAAGCTATTCCTCGCTTGCTCTTCAACAGCTTTATGTTATCCAAATATTGCTAGAATTATTATTCTATTTGTTCTGCATTATCTGCATCGTTCATAATACTATTCTTTGGCTCTAAATTTCTTTCTTTGTATGCAATTGCTTGTGCAATTGATCGTAGAATTCTTATCGTTCAACATAACTGTGGCTTATGTGTCATCGAAACGATGAATGAAAAATCTCCATCTTACATATGGCACCAAACACAACTTTGCAGTATTACTTCCAAAGAAGAATTCTTTTATCTTCATATTTAAGGGGCTCTTCCTTTGCTGGTATAATACCACTCAGATTTCATGATGTTGGTCTGTTAAAACCATGATTGGTGCCAACTCATACATGTTTCCGTCTTTAATTCAGTGTATCTTCTTCCATGTTAATTTTGGGCTTCAGTTTGTGCTGGTTATTCTCTTCGGATCTGTGGTCATGAACAACACAATTGATGTTGGTGGTTGGGTTTCGATGTATTACATGATCTAAAATTAATCACCTAATTAAAGGCCCCATGATGCTTAGTACTTGTTATGTCAGTTGAAGTTTCATTTTTCTGATCTTCGAGAACATAACTTTTCTGTCCTAACAACAGAGTGATTTATTTGATCAAGTTATTAGTGAATGCAATGAGCACAGCCTTCAGCTCCAGTCATTAATCAGGTAAGCTCCAATGATTCTCCTTTCATGGTTTGCCATGCTTGTTATAAGAGTATAATATATCCTGTTATTTATGTACTCTGCATCTATCTAAACCAGGAAAATTGAGGAGCAGAACTTAGATATGCAAACAACCAGAAATGAAGATCACTTTGGTGCAGTCATCCACCACCTTTCTTTGGTTCGCAATAAACGCTGTCTCATGGCTTACATGCAAGTGGATAACTGAATATTTACTCCTGAAATATTTCCTTCTGTAGCATAATTCTTTGTCCCAATTAATCTGTATTTTCTAGTACATATATGAGCAATTTTGACTACCACCTTAAATTGCCACTGATTCTCAGGTATAATCGGGCAGAGATCATTCAGGGTTTGAGATGGAAAGTTGGCCCTGTGCTTCCCCAAGAAATGCAAGAAAAATTAAATTATTCAGAAGAAGAATATTTCAAAAATCACTCGGCAGCCATAGAGGCCTACATGTCTGAGTTGGACCTAGATTTGACTGTGGTATCTGGTGTTCTTCATTCAATATGTTTGTGCCAATGAATTGTGAATTCCATTTCTATTTTCCTCCTGTTTCTAAATTGTTCCACCTTTTGTTAGGATATGGTTCCTCCGAAAGACCCCTATATTCGAGTTAGGGTGCTTGATGATATAGGCGAAGTCTGCCTTGATGACCATTCGATCTCTCTTGCCAAGCACTCACTGCATTTTCTTAGGCGTACTGATGCTGAACCATTTATCTCACAGGTTTTGTATAATCAATTTAGTCTCTAGACTTGTTGATGTTTGTATACCATTTAACACAACTCTTTGTGCTGATGATAGGGTCTAATGGAAGAGTTTCTGGAATGATGCCACTCCGCGATAATTATAAAAATGTAATTCTTTTATCCTGCTCTTTATTTCTTTTACATAAATTCTGGAACCAGTCTGGAAGATGATAATTGTAGTCACTAGTTGATAAACCTGACAGATGATAAGTCCATTAGATTTACACTCTTAGCACGTAAAATAAACTTCACTAATTGTTGGCTAGTTACAAGGCTGCTTTCTTTTCGTTGGACTTAAATAAGTGATATTTTCCCCATGCTTGATTTATGTGGTGCATACATGTTTGGTTTTAGCAGATGACACTGTTTGCTTTTTGCTATGTCTGTGATCAAAGAAGCGTCTGAAATCATACATAATTATGTCTGTCAGTGAATGATCATAGTTGGTGGCTTGTGTTGGAGCAGGAATAATTTTTAGTTTATACAGTAACCACCGAGAAATGGAAACAGCCCAAAGGAAATCAACAGAGATGGTTACTACCTGATCTTACCAAAGAATTTGATGAGCACTACTGGTGTAAGAGATGTCTCTCTTAGGATGGACACATAGCTAAAGAAAAAGTTTATGCAAGTTATGTAAGTAGGAAGTAAGATGTTTGTAAGCCAAGTCATGAGTAAAGTGCAACAATAATGTAACTCTGACTGCAAGATGATACCATGTATATGGACTTGTTTTGGTGCCACATTTCAGTTTCTATACACTGGTTGTTTCCTTGAATTTTCTGTATCTTTTGTCATCCCATTTCAACAGAGCCTATAATGAATTGCCAGGTAAACCAGATTGGCATCAATCTTCAGTATCTCAAATTTTTACAGCATAATCGATGCAATCTTCCCATAACAGTGTGTAGTCTTCATTTCTAGTTGTAATTTCCAAAAGAATCATTCAAGAGCAATTATCATTGGGCTGGAAAGTTTTCATCTCCATGGTGTGCAGTGTTCTTGTTCAACCCAATTGTAGTATGTTCTGTTCGGACTCGTGTTGTTTCCGTGTTGCCTCTGTTCTTCTTGCCAGTACTAAAATGTAACGTAGGGTAAAAAGGACAAATGATAATTCTTCTACTGCAATGACCTAATAAAGGGGCCTTTTTTCTGATGTCATCCATTTGGCTTCGATAAAACATGCGATGAATTGATTTTACTGGAATTTATGGATGGGTTTATTCATGAATTTTATTACTAATTTACTCGAGTATTTGTTTTTTATTTACATTCAACGTGAATTAAATTATGAATATTTTGCTTTAATTACAATGAATCGGAGGTTTACTGGATTCGGGTCCACGTTGTGGGGCCGAGGAGGAGACCCGTCCAAATGTGTCCTCTTCCTCCGGGCCCACCCCGACAACTGGTGCCCATTCGGTGACTCGGAACTTTTTGCCTCCATCTTTTACTATTTCTGTGGTCGTTCGCTCGCCCTTTACAGCTGGATGTAACGAGGCGATGCGCTGTGATGAGGGGAGGGGAGACAGAGGTGGATGAGGCGCCTCCACCGTCCGATCCCCAGAAGGCGCATGACGACCGTCCGTCGCCTTGCCGACAGGCTATCGTCTTTGGGGAATCGTCCAACGTGTGGGCCCGTTACAACTGGCGCCCATCTCCCGATGCTCCCCCGACAACGGCACATTTATCCCGCAACAACGGCATCAGACGATCGAGTGCGCGACACTCGTTCCCCCACCCGGCTAATGAATGGTCACTGACCGGTGGATCCCAGCGGGCCCCAACATCAGACCGGGTTGATACGCGGAGACAGCGGGTGGGCGTCAAAGAAGTTTCATTAGATGACGAAGCCGACTCGATGAAACAGCCAAGATTCAGGCGATATTTTACGGGAACGACACGAGGAGTTCCGATCCGCTCTGTTGCTCCCCGGCGGATTCGCTGCTAAATCTGGGATGGTATCGGTTTGACACCCGGACCGAGCATCCATTGGCCAGCCGCCCCGGCGAGGATGACGAGCATAGAATAAGAGAACAAGCAAATGAAACGTACACCGATTCACTTTTATTTAACGGGAATTATTATCATGAATATTATAAACAGGGCAAATACAAACTTGAGAGAGAGAGAGAAAGAGAGAGAGAGAGAGAGACTTCGGAAAGAGCAAAGAGCAGAGGCGATCCACAGCTGTTGTTGCTTTCTGCTTTTTCTCGACTTATTTTCTCCCTTTTCTGTCCCTCTCCAAAAGAAAATAATCTGAGTGTGATTACTAGTTCATCTTTCTCAGAATAAACAGGGAGGAGAGAAAACGAAGAAAAAATAAAGAGGCTAATTTGGACAAAAAATCGATAAAAAACAACGAAGAGAACAGAGGAAAAGGGAGGTTTTTACAAGCTCTTGGATGCTTTCGTTGCTCCGCCGCCACTTCTGGGGTTGTAGCCGTAGTAGGAGAGGTACCACTTGACGAACTTCTTCAGGCCGGCCTCGAGGTTGGTGGTGGGGTTGTAGCCGAGCTCGGTGCGAGCGGAGCTGATGTTGGCGTGGGTGAAGGGCACATCCCCGTTGCCCGGCATCTCCACCACGTGGCGCTTCGCCTTGACTTTGAGGTGGCGCTCTAGGATGCCCACCAGCGCCGGCACCGTCACGGGCGAGGTGTTCCCCAGGTTGAAGATGCGGTACTGGGCGGGGCCACGCTTCCGGCCGCCGCTCCCGGTGCTCTTCTGCGCGGTGTCGAGGGAGGCGACGCAGCCCTTGACGATGTCGTCGATGTAAGTGAAGTCGCGGGCGAGGTCGACGTGGTTCTTGCCGCGGTAGACGGTGATGGGCTTCCCCTGGAGGATGTTGCGGGTGAAGGAGAAGTAGGCCATGTCGGGGCGGCCCCAGGGCCCGTAGACGGTGAAGAAGCGGAGCCCCGTGATGGAGAGGCCGTAGATGTGGTTGTAGGTGTGGGTGATCTCCTCGCCGGCCTTCTTCGTGGCCGCGTAGAGGGAGGCTGGGCGATCGGTGCGGTCCGCCTCCGAGAAGGGCGCCTTCTCATTGAGGCCGTACACCGACGAAGACGACGCCCACACGATCGCCGGCTGCGGGTCCGCAGACTTGCACGCCTCGAGCAGCGTGACGAGCCCCGCAATGTTGCTGTGGACGTACGACGCCGGGTTCTCGATGGCGTAGCGCACGCCGGCCTGGGCCGCGAGGTGCATCACGTGGGTGAAGGGCACGACGTCAAAGAGCTTGGCGAGGAGGCGGGCATCGTTGATGTCCCCCTCCACAACGAACACGCCGTGGGAGGTCAGCAGCGCCTTGCGGGCCTTCTTCAGCGACGGGTCATAGTAGCTATTGAAGTTGTCCAGCCCGACGACGCCGTCGCCGCGTTTGCGGAGGGCGAGGGACACGTGCGTCCCGACGAAGCCTGCGGCGCCCGTGACGAGCACGGAGACGCCGCCGGGGCGTCGAGGGGTGGCGGAGGCCCGGATCTGCTTCTCCCAGTGCATCCCGCCCCACGACGCATTAAAGTAGCGGGAGGAGGTGTCGACGAAGCTCTGGAAACTAAGGTACGACGCCGTGAGCGCAATCAAGAACAACGCCCACAGGAACATGGTGCTCGTCGATGCGAAGCATCTGTGGAACTGGCGATTGATGGTGTGCGCCCGCTCGATCTTAAACTTCCCAGGCGTCGACGGAAACAACTCGTCTTCCATCAATCTCATCTTCTTCGCTGCTTTCTTAAAATCTGTCGATAACAGCGGCAATGCGACCAGTGGAGGTGGTGGAACGGAGGAGGCGGAGACAGGGCGGCGAAGGTAAATGAGGTGTTTGCTGAAATAAATGCCTTGCTGCACCTGCTGAGAGAGGGCGGACGGACGGGGATATATAAATAGCAAGGAAAGGAGAACCGACAGGCGACAGGAAGCGCGTGAACGCGCTGGAAGAGGGGCGGCCAGTTTGTTCCCACAACGAGAACTTAAAACTATGCACTGTTTCCTTTTTCCTAATTTATTACTCTGCTTTATTGTTAGACAAACAAACTATACGATTTATTGCTCTCCATAATAAACAGTATACAATTAATTTCGAATGAGATCACATAAATGCTGACTAACTAAATATGGTTTATTTTGATAAAAATATCAATAATTCTTTTCTTTTTTGTACGTCGAGTAGTATCCTTATCACAGGAATTTGATACGATTAGTTTAATTAATTAATTATATATATATATATATATTTTTTTTTTTCTTCATCAAATTCTTTCATTATTTTCTATTTGAAGTTGACTAGTGGTTTAGATTCGTTTACCCGTGGTAGAAGTCGCATTCCCCACCACCGCTTTCTCTTCGAGTGTGTGGCGCCCAGTAATCGGACCCACCATCGGCTGGCGGATTCGAGCGACTCCCTCGCTACCCCCGCATGCGATACCCGTTGGGCTAACGCCGTCGTGATTGGCTACGAGGAGGACTTTGACGTGGTTTCATCGCTGTCCCCAGCTTCGCGTTGGGTTCTCCCTCGGGTTGTGGTTCGGTCTTCTGCTACCACAGCTTCGGATGCCACGTGGTTTCTGGTGAGACCGGGACGAGGATAAGGTTAGCGCACGCGGGGTGGTGTGACACGCGTGGTTCGGGACCGGAGAACCGGTCGCGGGGGAGAGGGGCAACCGGGAGACGACCGCGGGGGGCCGGAGATCGCGGTACGGTGCCCCGGTTTTCGTGGGACGGTGAACGGTGCCGGGCGGTTTTGACTGGGCGCTGCCTCGCCCGTTTTCCAATTCGCCAGCTCCGAGTGGGGCCCCATCTCAGTAACGCGCCGTTGTCGCCCTCTATGTGCCGTGGGCGCTGCGACGTTGGCGGCAGCAGCGTGTTTGTGTTCGTCCTGTGTGCAGCATAAAGCAGAGGGTGGCCTCATCTTCTTCAATGCATTCCGAGGACGAGAAGGCGAGAACGCTCCTTAGCGCTGCTGGCCTGGAAGCAACTGGTTTTGCTCAGGAAGCCAAGTAGGGTTCTGTATGGAGGACACATGTGTGGCCGCAGTTTGATCTCTTTATTGGCGATGTGATGTGATGCTCCGTGATGACGTGATGCAATGCATCACTCAGCCAAAGCAGATGAACAGGTGGACAAAGGATGCTGCTCTTGTGGCGCTTTAGGGTCTCGAGTGTCAGCGGCTGCTGCTCGGACCGGAGTGGCATGTCTTGTTGGTGGTCTCAGATTGGATAGTTTAATCAAATTCTGGATTTTCTCAACCAGTAAGAACTGCATTTGACCGACAGAAATGAACTTGGAATAGACACAAATCCATCCTTAGCAAGGAGGGCTTCTTTGTCATTCCATGACGCAAGTAAATCTACACTATTGTCGCCATCGACATCACCGACGTGTCGTGCTTGCATGCACTCACGAAGGCATGCAGAGGATGAAACCATGTCCCACATCTTGACCACCCGATGAGTGGATCTCTCGACAAGGTAGAGAGACACATATATATATGTCAATATTCTTGACTAATATAAGTCTGAAACCATCTTCTTCCTTTTTTTCCATGTTATTGTTGATACTCACATTTCATGTTTGGCATTCTGGTCTGCCTTCATGTTTGCTCTTAACGAGCACTTGCACAGTCCTAAGGAAGACCGAGGGCTTGAGATCCGAGTGACTTGCGTATTATAACGTGGTCTATCAGACTTCCACATTGTGCATGCACACAGTGGTTTCTTCAACCTACAAGTCTGCTTCCCACAAAGCCAATAAATTAAGATTGTAAGCTTGGAACACTTGTCTGGTAATATCTTTTATTCGGATCACAAGTCTGTAGCATCTTGATTTAAGCAAACATCTCCAGGCTCTTCACTTGTTTGGATATGCTCAAGTATCAGAGCTGACCATAACAGTCAAGCTGATTGAATTTCTTCTATCCCTATATATATATATATATATACAAAGAGTTTATAATTATTTGATATATTTATAGATTTCATGTCGAATCATCATTTTTTTTGTTTTGTTCCTGCAAAGGTAAAAATATTTTTGCTTGGCACTGCAGGCTAAGATGTTGGAGGATAAAGTGAAAGGCCATCTTAAGGCTGCACTTGATGTTCACCTCATTCATCCTGAGTAAAAAAGACGCACTTAATTAGTTGTACTTCAGGCTAACTTAGGCATTCATCTTACAGCATTGCATTCGAGTAAATGATCCAGAGACTAACATGTACAATCCACAGATTCACATACAGTGTTCTCATAGTAATGCTTTTAGTTTGTGTTTGACTCTTCTCCACTCTCCACTCTGCTGAGTAGAAGCTCAGCTCACAACACAGAGAAGAAAGAGAAAACTTTTTTGCTGAGCCCTGTAACATAGCAGTTGACACAAGGGTTGGGGCGAGTGATAAAAGATGCAAGAGCCTAGAGAACACCAACTTATCCAGAGTTAAGAAGAGAGATCCATGAGCAACAATGTGGGTGTATCATTTTCCAAATGGTGGTCAACCAATGCATCCAGTCATCAAGGGACAGAAGTGAAAGAAGCATGACTATGATGCAGCCAAGCCATGAGAAACTGCCCCTCCTCCTTTCCACCATTAACACAATCGTCTCAATCACCGAAGCTTCATCTCACTCGCATGATCAAACAGTGGAAACAAAATTAGAAGACGAACGAAAGACAATTACAAACAGCATGTTGGCAACGTTAGAAAGTAGCTAAAGAAAGAGAGCTAATTAACAAGATGAGAAGAAGCAGAAGAAGAAGAAGAAGAAGAAGAAGAAGAAGAGAGCTGATTGAGCCGCTGACGCCAATATCACAGCACCTTCCTCTTCCTTACACGCAAATGATATGATAATGGAGCATGTCCCACATGCTGTACGTCCTCGTGTCATCTGCGTCGTCGCCATGAGGCCTCTCTTCACCTCGCCACCGCACCTTGGTTACCCTCGCTGGCGCGTCCACCTTTTCCATGGCCATTCCTCCTCAAATCTTCCTTGTCACAGGAAGAAAACAAGGCTAAAAGAAAAAAAAGATAGAGAGCAATGCCGATGCACTCTAAATGTTGCTCTGCTGCTTCGACTATCTCGGCCGTGCTTGCACGAGAGAGGTCTTTGATGCCATCTTCCTTCTCCGTCACCCTTCTCAGCTCTCCCGAAGCTAGGAAAATAAGAACAGAACCAAACAGTAGAGCGAGGACTAGACCTCTGTAGTACTTCTTCTCCTCTCTACGTTAGAAAATGGTAGGCTCGCTACATTGCACATTGCATTTTGCATTTGGGTGCGCCGTCCCAAGTCGAATGTACCCTCGGTACGGTGGACTCGTTGCTGCGTGTTAATGGCTTCTCTTCCTCCTTTAGTTCCTCATCCACACCAGACTCCACCTAAGGAAACTCCATCCTCCTCATCTTCGCTTTTGCCACTCCGTACCCAAAACACATCACCAATCGCTTCTTAACCACTCTGTAAGCCAATTCTTCTTCTGTCTGAAGTGCCCATATCGACCTTCCCCTCCGTGGCCGCGAGGGGGTGAGAAGAGTGCGGGAGAAGGCAGCCCAGAAACTCAGGGATCAAGGAACGCAACGAGAGGCTCCGTTTTGGGTATGGAAGCTCTCTCTCTCTCTCTCCCTCTCTCTCTATCTATCTATATATATATATAGATATAGGTATATCTCTCTCCTCCTTTTCCTCTCTCACACAGAGCAACAGCACCGGCTGAAGCAGCAGAAGCGATCAACTTGCTCACTGAGATACCGAAGGAATGTAAATGAAATGGGCAGCCGATCCATCTACTTCCGTTTCCACCATGGAAGTATGGGGTACAAGCTACTTAAAGAACGACTCAGGCAGGCGCTCAACGTTAGCAGACGAAAACAGTGTAGATAGATTGATAGATAGATAGATAGATAGATAAAGAGAGAGAGAGAGAGAGAGAGAGAGCTGCTGTTGCAGCTGCCGTCGGCCAACCCATGTGCGCGTGGCCAGGCGACCGCAAGCCAACAACGGGACCAGCGTCGCGTTACACTGATCTCGTGGTGAGCAACAGTGGCACGGGCAATACGGTCAGCTGAGCGACCAGTGCCTGCATACAAAATTACTACGACAGTCCAGCAGTAAAACTTCTGACAGCATTGGGTTCAGAAAAGTTTACATGAAGTGGCTGATGGGGGGAGTTCGATTAGAGATGGACAGAGACAGAAGTGACCAAGTTTGGCATCATTGCCTTCCACAAGGAGGGAAGGAGGAGCACCAGACACGAAATTAATGTCCGGAGAACAAGCCAAGCTATCCAACCCTATCTAATTTACTACTCGTCAGATTGAGGCTGCATGTATGAAGAGAGATAGAGACAGATCCGAAAAGGATCGACGTATGACTCTCATGTGAGCATAGTACCACGAATGTTCAACATGTGTGGGACACAGACATGTCCACCAAAACCACGTGTCCATGCTTCTTAGCTTTGAATCCGAGCAAATCTACTTCTACCATTAACTGTTCTCTCATTTTCCTTATCTTTTAGCTTCTTCATCTCCATTTTTTCCTCTGCAAATGCAGCTAATATTACAGCTCAAAACTGTTCATTATCATTCTCAAAGCTTACATTCTTCCTCTCCTTGTCCATTCCGGATCTGCGTAGCCGTGCCTCCGGTCCTCTCTACCTGTCTTTCATCTACGAGCTTAACAGTCACTGCTCTATCCATACTGTGCACAAACTGAAACATCATTTCATCTGCTTACCACATGAAACATGAAGATATTGTAGGAATCGTAATAACAGTGTTTGGGGGTGGGTGGGGGGGGGTGTCGAGCTTAAAATAACAGTGGTCCTCCACAGTCCCCACTGTTTTGTCTTGTTTCTTGGACTGTGCACGCGGAAGCCTACCTCCCAGAGTGGAGGAAGATGATCAGGTGGCCATGCTCAGAGCGCCACCTTGCTGTC